AATTGTAATGTTCTACTTCAAAAGAGAAATCTGAGAGTTTCGTGAAACAAAAACAACAGCCTTCCTCTCTCTCATGTTTGCATGTCAGTGGGAGTGTGTCACGAGCCTTTCACAGATGTCCCTGAAGTTGTATGGAAAGGGTGGCAGGGGGGGTGGGCGGGCTGGTGGTGTTGACAGAGGGGACACTCAGGATGGACTCGGCCAGTCTCGCCTCGAGCCTTCCATGGGGAAATGACCCCTCCAGGGACTAGCACTCCGAGCCACCTCATTTATCTGGCTCTTCTGCTCTAGGGGGGTATAGTCCTCTGATCATTCAGGGCCAAGTACCCCCAACTAGCATCAGCTCGAGACTGTGGAGCCCCCTGGAATCACGCCGACCACCATTCTAAGCCTGTGCCCTGCCTTGTGGTACACGTGGCAACCGCCATGCAGGTCCCACGGCCTTCCCCTCACACCAGCTCCCTGCTCTGGTGGCCCTGCACGGCATCTGTCCTTTGTGGGACTTGTGAGTAGAGAACCTTCTGGTCAGTGTCTTTCCATACCAGATGCAGAGTTTATTTTCAAACATGTTAGATAAAGGGTTTGGCAAGGTCATGATTATATGAACATGACCTTAGAACTTGAAGACATAAGCAGAAAGAATTCTCTCCAGGACTCAGGAAACTGCCTGTTCCCAAGCTCCCCAGGCGAGGCGGATGTCCGGCTAGGTTTGAAAACGCTCCTGTCTTCATGGCGCGATCGCTTGAGATCCTTTGGTTACAAGTGACACGAACCAACTAGAACTTACTCAGGCAGGAAGGGACATTCCATGAGAAAGGTACAAAGGTGTTTCCTGGTGTAGATGCATGTGGGTCCAAGCCAGGTGGAGTCAGGAAACAGACAGTCAGGCGCCTTTTCCCCCGTCCCTCTCTTTGCCATTGTTCAGAGCCCTCAGAATTGCTTCCTGTGCCTCCCAGGTTCACACTTGCAGCCACACGCGTGTTGAAGTTGGTCCCCGTTTCAGCGTCCTGAGTGTGGGGTAAATGAGTTCATCAGGCGTTTATGCCACTAGCCTCCATGGCAATGACCTGCGGCCTTGATCACGTTCACGCAGAGGCGCTTGGTAGCGTGGGCACAGGGCCCGTGGGCCTGAGGGTGGGCACCTGGAACATAGGTGTGTGCGCCTGCACTCGTGCAGGCTGAACCAAGATGCCAGGGCTTTAAGGCGGTGTCTGGGCGATGGCTAGTGAGGGCGAGAGACTACAGGAGAGGCGAGACTGCAAGAGAATGCTAGAAAGAGCCCGGAGAAAGAGTTAAGTTTTGTGAGGGCTGGAAGTCTCAGTTGCCTCCAGGCTGGTGTGCCTGGTTCCCTGAGAGGCTCAGTAAAGACTGTAAAATCGACTGAGGGCTCAGGGACTCTGGACTCTCCTTATCCGTCTGCCCGAATCCTAGTGACCCTGCTTCGTGCTTGCTGGCTGGGGAGCAGACCCTGATGCGCCCATCTTACTGGAACCGTCGCCGGGGCAGTCTCAGACAGGAGCACAAATATGGTGGGGAGAAAATAGCCCCGAATGAAGGGTCTGGTGCCAGAGGTGTCCCAGGACTCTTCCTGAATGCAAACTCTCTCATCCTGGCAGCCCCCACGGCCTGAGCTGTAACGGGCAGACTGGAGGAAACATTAGCACGTGTGTGCGGGCCGTCCATGCTCTTTCCTTTCTTCGGGTGTGACTGGGCTCTGTTTCTCGCCAGTTATGCTTTGTGGTGATATGTTCTATTCTTTTGGTAGATGTTCAGAAAATAACTAATTTCATCAGTATAATATTATAGAAACCCCTTCCTGGGGGATTGCAAACGATGGCTGTTATGTGTGATTTCTTTATTAGTTTTCCTTTCAGCTGGTCTTTTCCTGGTTTTGTCTCAGTGTTCTGGTGATTTCCGTTCATTTCCTGTGTGTTAAGCTCCGTGTGGGCCAGGAATGGGGTTGGGGCTTGGCTGAGGGCATCAGCATGGAAGGATTCATCAGGCCACTTCTGTGAGTGGCTTGCTCTGTGGCTATAAGCTCCCACATAGGAACGTATCTCCCAAGTCAGTGCCAGGAGCAGCATGGCCTGACAGCTCCTCACAACATCTGAAACTGAGTCTGCGATAACAGGCCTAGGAGTGGTGGTGAGACTCTGGGCTTTGTGTGGCAAATGCTGTTTCATTTCCAATCCCCAAAATACTACCGCAGCCCCCTTTTGAGGTAGGGGATTGAGGTCAGTGACCCTCAGCCAGATGCCACAGCTTTGCCCTCCCCTGCATTGTCCTTGACCTTGGATCACTGCCGTTCGATATGTTGAACAATTTAGGAATAAAAACAGTCAAGCATCAAGCCACGCATTGCAGTTACTAGAAGGCTGAACCACACATCGCCTCCTGCTCAGCAAAGGGTGCAGACAGCCCCACTGCAGTGGGAATGGCCGTGGGCTCTTTGCACCCCATCTGGGAGAGGTGGGGACATGGGTTCAGGCAGGGAGGTCATAGGTCAGCTTGGAGAGAATTTCAGTACTTCACAAATGTTCTTAAAATCCAGAGCCGTTACAGGGGCACTATCATCATGCACAGGTTACTGGGTTGATGAGGAACGGCTACCCAGAAGTGTTAGGGCAGTGAGGTGGATGCCGGTGAACAGATGCAGGGCACGAGGCTGGGGGCATTGTGAGCACCATGGAGCTTTCCACACTCCACCCATATGCACTGTAATAAATATTTCACACGTGTGTGTGCCTGCACCCAGCTCTCCATAAAAGAGAAACAAGTCTCATAGAATAATACTTAACTCTTACATGCCATCGCATAGCTCAGATGTTTCCTTTTTCTTTTTTTTAGAAAACGCTAGTTGCCATCCACTTAACTGATTTCACATCCACCAATGGTTTCATTCAGCAGTTAAAAAACACAGCAGCACAAGGGGTCTGGTGCATTGTCTACAGTGGACTGTGGGCTTGCCAGCTGGGTGGGGCAGATCAGGGCAGAGTCCTAAACCAGGTCCAAATCCCACACCAAGTGAAAAGATCAACCCTGATGCAATTTGGTGTCTGAAAATCTTTCTAACTGGTCCTTCTGCTGCTACTGTGGTGTAAGCCTGCAGACACCCCGGGGCATTTACTGTCTGAAGCTACACAGCTGCAGTGCACTCACCCCGGGATACAGTCCTTTCTGGGGGTGCCCTATGCCTTCCCAGCACCCTGTTCAGTCAGAATGGGCTAAAAAGGCAACAGCCATGAATTTTGCTCAAACCAAGTAGGCAGGAAAATGCCATTTGTGCAAGGATTGCATGTCACAGACAGGGGTGTGCAGAGAGAGATGGGGGGGGGGGCAGAGGCTTTTCTAGAAGCAGCATCTAGGATGGATGTATGGCTAGACATGATTTTGAACAACTGTATCCTCATCTCATCAGCAGGCTGGGTTTATTTTTTAATTAGTAAATATGCTTTTAGTATTCAAGCCTGGATGCGGCCAAAACAGATATCACCAGCTTACTTTCCAATTGCTTTTTTTTCTAGTGAGATATAATACATAAACCATAAAATTCTGTGAACTGAGTTACTCAGCCATGTCCTCTTGTGTGGCTTGAAAAAATAAACCCTTGGGCCCTCCCTAGTGGTGCAGTGGGTTAAAGCTCAGTACTATGGAGCAATCCGCAGCTACCACAGCACGAGTTTGATCCCCGGCCAGGGAGCTGACCCACATGGCACAGCAGACATCTCCTCTCTGGCCCTCTGCTCCCCTCAGCTGTTGGAGACCAGCTCCAACTATCGAGGTGTCTGGAGGCAAGACAGGCAGGGCCCTAAGGTGGGAAGGTGTCGGCGAGTGGAGATTCCTAAAGGGGAGAGAGGAGCGGACACAAGGAAGACATGGGAGTCAGGATTGGGTGCAAGTCTTCCTGCCATTCCCTCAGCAGGTCTTTATTTATACTGTGTAACAAGTAGTTAATTGCAATAATGCAAAGGGTAAGTTAATGAGAAATCACCATAAAACATTCTCAAGGACAAGGGAAACAAAGCATTTTTCTCTTAACATACTATGGTATACTAGATTATACGTTTTTGTGATAATTATCATGTGTACAGCTGTTTAGTTATCACTCAAAGGAAGAGGGTCTGGAAAGGGATGAGCTCATTAGCAAAAGGTTATTAGGGGTTTTGGGGTAGTAATAAATTGTGTTAGCAGCGTTATCAGTGATTGTCTAAAGAAAAGCTAGTGGGTAATTTAAGGCTAGCAGAGTGTAGTTAGTGCTTGTTTTAAAAAGGAGTAAATTAAGAGAAAGTTGTAACAGTTGTGTATCGAACAACACCTGTGTAATCAAGGCCAAAATTTGCCCATGAGTCCTTATGCCCTGGGAATCTTATCTGAGGTTTGCTTTTTTATATGAAGAAACCAAGAAAGCTTCCCAGGAGTTTTTATGCCCTGCGGTCTTATCTCTCCTGGGACTTGCCTTCTGTCTCAGGAGACAGAGGGATTTCTCACCATGGGGCAGCATGCATGAACCAGGCAGCTGCTTTATGAGGCTAAGACAATCCAGTTGTAAACTGATTGTTGCTCAGAATATTTTGATATTATGATTATACAAAAAAGAGAGGTCATAACATAAGTTAGCAGTGGAAATTCTGATTTTTCAGAGCTTTTCCCTATCTATCCGGAATCTGTCAGTCGATAGACGTTGCATAGCTTGTGTCACTCAGCAGTGTATTTCAGTCAGGCTCTCCAAGCTGCTTCCCTCCTCCTCACCTCAGTCTCGGGGTTCAGCTCCTCGTCCCTCCCCACTCAGCTCCACCCACTGTTGTGTGGGACCAGGAGCCTGTTCTGTTCCCAACTCTGTCTCTGGTGAATCCTCTCACCCACCACACCTATGGCCTGTACCCCAATTCTGTAAGCATAAATAAATAAATCTTAAGAAAAAAGAAACCAGCAGGTGGACTGGCAGGTGTATAACCCGCTATATCTTTCTCTCCCACTCTGACACCCCCACCCCATGGCAGAGTCAAAAGGGGACAAAGCCAAGTGGGTGCTCACCTGGCCACTCATCTTCCTCCTCTGCATCACCATCCCCAACTGCAGCAAGCCACGCTGGGAGAAGTTCTTCATGGTCACCTTCATCACCGCCACCCTGTGGATTGCCGTCTTCTCCTACCTGATGGTGTGGCTGGTGAGTGGTGTGGGCAGGTGGCTCCATTTTCTTGAGTCACAGTCACCCTCTATGAAGTGGGAATGACTGTCATTGTCTAACAACCTTATTGGGAGCCTGGAGCATCTGTGTTCATGCAGTGTGCTCTAAGCTCCAGCCCTGAAGGTAGCTCGCGACCGCACATCTCAGATAAAGGTTAAACTCCCATAGATGTTAGTGTGTGTGCTTGCATGTGTGTGTGTGTGTGTGTGTGTGTTGGGGTTGGGGAAGAGCAGTAAGTGCCACTCAACACCTCCCCCAGGAAAATCAAAGGTCATAAAAAACGATGCCTTTGGTGAATTGAATTTTAAAATTTTAATTCTTGAGTAGTGTTAAAGGCCTCCTCATTTTTTCATTTGCAAAAGGATCCAACGACTTCTGCTGAAGGCCACCCCTCAAGCATTACACATTAAAGCATATCTTGTGACATCTGAGTGGGTATGAAGGTCAGATGTTCCATGTTGGAAATAACTATATTGTTAAATCAGCTCTAACGTGCGGAGTTTGCACTTGTCACACACTCCCAACCCCGTTGCCTGGCCGATTGCCCTTGTCCTTAAGGCATAACAGCAGCTGATGATATGGTGCCAGGCTGGAGGGACCACCTTGCTGGCTTGTGCCTGCCTGGCATCTTGAACTTCAGCCAGCCTCAGTGTGGGAAAGGGACTGACCTCCATGGGAAGGGTAAAGACCACAGAGCCACATTTTAGCCTGAATTCTGCTGAAGCGCACATCCCAGGGCCATACAGGCACTCTCACTGTGCCCTGGTGGGGTGCCAGGGAGCACCCTGCCTATCCCACACTGCTGTTTCTTGGAACTGTCCTCAGGAAGTAGTAAGATGAGAAGCCAGTAATGTGTACAGAAGATGGAGTGGTGGTGACAGGCACTTAGGATAGGAAAGAGTTGACTGGGAATTCCTAATTCATTGTTTACCAGCCTTGTGCCAGCAGGCAATGTGGCTTAACTACTGGGTCCCTCATTTTCCCAAGGCATAAAATTGTCCTCATCACAGTGCCTCCCTCATCAGTGGTAAATTATAGAAATAGAAAATAGTGCCCAGTAAATGTTATTTTGTGCAGTGGCATTGTAAGAACACAATAAGAAAGCATGTCAGTATTTAAACATGAGAATGGTATCTGTGCATCAGTTTAAAATGATGTAGGAAAAAACCCAAGAGCCCAATCAAACAATTGGGCAGAAGAACTCAATAAAACTTCTCCAGGTGGCCAACAGGGACATGGAAGAGTGGTCATCGCCACTTGCCAACAGGAAAACGTAGATGAAGCCACACCTCACACCTGTGAGAATGGCCTTGATCAGAAAAACCAAAATCAAGCAGACGCTAGGATGTTGGGGAAAGGAACCCTCACACCCCTTAATGGGGGTGTAGCCTGTCCAGCTCCTGTGGAAAACAGTGTGGAGGCTCCTCAAAATGTTAAAAACACATCTACCATACATCCAGCAATTCCTTTTCCAGCAATCTACCCAGAATGCAAAAACATTATTTTGGACGGATGTATGTGCCTGAGCTAATGGCAGCACTAACTCTGTTGTTATGGGAACTACCTCAGTGCCAGGGGTGGATGAATGAATTAAAATGTGGTGGATGCAGAATACCACTCAGCGATAAAAAAGGGACAAACTCTCGCCATTTGCAACATGAATGACTCTGGAGGGAATGATGATAAGCAAAATAAGTCAGAAGGAGAAGACTGATATCACGATTTCCCTCACGCGTGACTGTCTGTGGGTCTTGACAAATGGTAGGGCGTTTTAATTTTCTCCTGACTTTATTTTCTAAGTTTGTATTACTAACAGGAAAAAAGGACGCTCAAAAGATATTTTAACATAGAATCATGTTCTAGATTTTTCTTTTGGTTACATTGTTACAACCACTTTGGAGGAGGAAAATTTCCAGGGGTGTTCCTCTGTGAGTTCATGTCTCCCTCCTTCTGTAGGTGACTATTATTGGATACACTCTTGGGATCCCTGACGTCATCATGGGCATTACTTTCCTGGCAGCGGGCACAAGTGTTCCAGACTGCATGGCCAGCTTAATTGTGGCGAGGCAAGGTAGGACTCACACTCGCCCCCATTACCGTGAGTAGCTTCAGGCAGCCTCTCACCACCAGCCAAGTTGTCACTTATGACAGTTAGGTCCTGCCTTGGAGGCACAGTGACATCTGGGAGTCCTTAGGTACTAGTTCCCTCCAGAGAGATGCCACCCAGCTCTGTTTTTCCAGACCCCCCAGACTTCCAGAACATGGAGTAGTAATGAAAGGCACTCTGGCCCCAGGAGGGCAAAGGGGGAGACCCTAATACCTCCAACTATCTTCCTGTTCTTCAAAGATCTAGAACATGTGTCATGTCTGCAGGGCTTTCTTTGGGGCTTCCTGACGGACACAGGTTAAGCAAGTTGCTTGATGGCAGAACGAAAGAGCCACCAAGAGCTGACCTCTCTAACCTGTTCTCTTGCTGCTGGGAGGTAACATCCTTGCAGGGACTTCTGCAGATGAAAGTATGGGGGTGGGAGCAGATGATAGAGTGAAAGCTCAGAGGAGACAGGAGGAGAGAAGTGCCCAAGGAGAAAGTTAGTTTGGAAAGAGGAAAAGGAAGTTTTAGCCTCCAAGACAGAAGAAGGGGGTGACTGGCTGGGTGGCCAGTCCTGAGAAGACAAGCGCTGAGGGAAGGGGTGTGCGGGGTGTGGTTGGTACAGCCTGGAGTCTTGTGGAGAATGCAAAGACCTGCGGACAGCAGCAAGGAAGAATAGAAATGACCTCTGATGTGAGTGTATTTATTTCCTCATAGGAGGATAACAAAAGTACCACAAATAGGTGGCTTAAAACAACCACATGGGTTATCTCCCAGGTCTGGAGTTTGTCCACGTCACTTGGCCTGTGGCCATGTCCCTCCAGTCTCGGCCTCTATCTTCGTGTGTCCAAATCTCCTCCTCCTTTTTTTTTTTTAAATACTTTATTTATGCATACTGAACTGGGGTGCAGGGGCGGTGAGAGGCTTCCCCAGAGACAGAGGGGGGAGCAGAACAGGCAGATCGACGAAGTACACTGCTGAGGGGAGCAGCGGGGAGGCAGGAGAGGTCTGCCGCGCCATGTGGTCACCTCCGGGCCCGGGAGGGAACTCACACTGAAGCGGCTGGCTGACTTGCAGTTGCTGCGTCCTGACCCGTGGGGCCACCAGGGAGGGCCATCTCCTCCTCCTTATAAGACCACCTGTCCTGGGGTCAGTGCCCATCCTACTTCTGTGTGACTCACCTTCCCTTGATAACATCTTCAAAGACCCTATTTGCAAGTTGGACCCATTCACAGGTTCCAGAGAGACACGATTTGGGGGTGGGGTCCCTCTTCGACCCAGTCAGTACAGCGAGGAGGAGAAAGTGGACGAGCACTCAGGGCCTGACTGAGCTTCATTGGCATGAACTTGGGTGGGATTCGGCCATAGCAGCTCCAGGATGCATAGATGAGAGAGGGCAAGTCCAGACCAGGGCCTGGCGGCATGGACATGTGGAATGTCAAGTGGGCAAGAGAATGTGAAGTTCAAACACCTGGGCCTGAGTTCAGGCTAGAGGGGAAAAGTGATGCCAGCGGGCAAAGGGCTAGAGGAGGTTAGGCAGGTCAAGGGCTTGGGTTCTGTAGGAACAGGGACAGGCGGCTCCCAGGGGCTCCTGCTGAGGAAGGACCCGGCAGTGGTGGGAGCATGCAGCTGGCATGGGGGCAGGGATGTGCCCGCCAGCGGGCCGGGCAGCGTGGTTAGGGCAGTTCTTGACGACAGAGGAGACAGCAGCCTCAGTGGGGCGTCCACACAGCCAGCTCTGACACGGGCGCCCTGCAGCCCAGCGCCTTTGGTTGGAATAAGTCTCGGTGATAGTTCAAGAGCTTATTACATAATCAAAGTGAGGCTTGGCACCCGGGCAGCTTGACAGACTTCGCTCTGTGACAACTGTTCAGACAATCACAAGTCTGAGTTTAGTTTATAGAGATGGGAACAGTGAGTCACAGATGTCCAAAATGTAATTATTCCTGACAGGTTTTCCTCTTCTGGTTTTTATCTGTACGTTTAGATCTTTTGATCTCCTAAGTTCCCTTGATGTAAAGAAATGTCCGTGCCATTTCTGCACAGAGGCAAGTGTGGGGCTTAATTACTGTCCTGATCGCTAAAGAATAAACCGGGGAGACAAAGGCAAGATGCCCCCTCTCTGACTATCTTCATCCGGCTCCTTGGTCATTAGCAAGGGGTGAAAGGCTGGTCCCACAGGCAGCAGATTCCTGCATCGCTGCCTCACAGAACATGACAGAACCTGTTCTGACGTGAAGTCTGTGCAGCAGATGGCTTTACACTCAGCCTGGAGTTGGGGGGCCTGGGGGAAGGCCCCAGAACATCTATAACAGGTTCACACTTCCAAAAGTCTCATCGCTTCAGTGTGGTCCAGGTCAGCTGGTTAGATTTTATCAGGGGGGTTGTGAGAAATCAGATTCTAGGGCTCAACCCCAGAACCCCCAGACCCCAAATCTGTCCAAGCTCCTCAGTGATACGTGTGTTCTTAGCAGCACTCCTCCTCCCACACTGCAGCATCCTCCCGCCCCCCACCTGCCCAGTCAGCACCTGCCCCTCTCCCCCTGCCCCCGCTCCCAGTACCAGCAGTGGCTGCACCTTCCTGCTTTCACAAGAGACTGAGACCCCGGGCAGTGGACCGGGGGTGTCCTGCCCCTAAAGGACTCAGCTGCCTAGATTCTGCAGGCAGAACAGTGCCCGGGACAGGCAGCAGGGAAACGAGGCCCCGAGGGGGGCTTCGGCCCTGAACGTGAGCAGGAGACTAGAGTGGGGGATGATGGCAGCATCTGCAGGGCTCAGAGGTGCGTCAGCGTGAGGAGGCTGGTGGATTGCTCTGAGCTCCTCGGCCACAGCAACGGTCAGGTTCCTGTGGCCCAGGCCCGTCATTCCATGGACACTCGCCTCTGTGCCAGGCCACGACAGTCACGTCAAAGTAGTTTGAAGTGGCCAGGACAGAAGAGCGTTTAGCCCACGTCGTGTTTGTAGAAGTTTGTTTTTCTCCCTTTCAGTAACCCTCACGTGATGAAGCCCCTCAGACCGCGTGGCCGGCGTCACTCCGAGAAGGTGCGGGAAGGGGAGGCCACGGACAGTGTGACCTCTCAAAGGCTTCTAGTCCGTTTGAGGGAAAAGCGCTCCTACTGCCGGAGCCACCAGGGCCATAAACCCCGACACCCTGTCACCCACGCCAGGGGCCTTGGAGCCGTTTTCTGGGCCCCAAGAACACGTTGTGGCAGAGGGGGGACCCTGGGCCGCTACAAACCCTGAGACCCTGGGCATGTCCCAAACCTGTTCCGTCAACTGCCGTGTGACAGCGTGCCCCTCCCTCCCAGGGTAAGGAGGAGGGCCACAGGAGGTGAAGCACAGTAGGGCCCCAGAGAATGGAGGCTGATGCACCTGGCTGAGGAACAATGGAGAGCCTCGTATGGCTGCCTCGGGCTTCCCTAACAAAGTTCCTCAAGTTGGGAGGCATGAAGGCAGCCCTGTGCCACAGATCTAGAAGCCAGAAGTCCAAGGTCAGGTGTTGGTAGGGTTGGTTATTTCAGGGCTGTGAGTGGGCTGTGAGTGAAGGCCTGATCTGGGCCTCTTTCCTTGGCCTGTGGACGGCCATCTTCATCTTCCCATGGAGCACACCCCTCCCCCCCATACACACTGCCGTGTCCAAGTTCCCCTTTCTATAAGGACACCAGTCAGACTAGATGAGGGCCCACCCTGATGGCCTCACTTTAACTTGTCGCCCTATACACCCTTTCCTCAAAGAAGGTCACATTCTGAGGTGCTGAGGATTGGGAATTAAGCACATGGATCTTGGCTGAATCACCATTCCACCTGTAACTGGCCTTTATAGACTTCATGAAGGGAATGGATTTGAGGGCCATAGAGTCCATGAAGAAGGATTCCTTTCTAAGGAACAGCACTAACAGAACACCTGTGGAAAGAACAGGGTTTCCCAGCAACCTGCTCTTAATGAAAGGCAGTTCTTGGTTGTCCCTTCCAGGCCTTGGCGACATGGCGGTCTCTAACACCATAGGAAGCAACGTGTTTGACATCCTCGTTGGACTTGGCATACCCTGGGGCCTGCAGACCATGGTCATTAGTTACGGATCCACGGTAAGTTTCTCCCAGATGGACTCTGGGCCTGCACCTGGCAGTCCGTTTCCTCAGGCAAGCAACGTTGAGCCTTCGGTCTACCCTGAGCCGGCCCTCTGTGGCCATACACCACCAGGCCCCACCACCCCTTCCACCTGGGGAAGGAAAAGCCCACCAGCACGAAGGGGCCCTGACTCGGTCACGTGTTTGTTCTTTCAGGTGCGGATCAACAGCCGGGGGCTGGTCTACTCCGTGGTGCTGCTGCTCGGCTCTGTTGCACTCACCGTGAGTTTTCACTGCGCAAACAGGAGCCTCTGGCACACCTTACCTGACTCTGATGGCCCCTCTCGCTTCCCCCTGGTGGTGGGGGTAGAGCTGAGGAGACACATCAATTCACAGAAACCTCAGGCACAATTCTCTCCAAGCGCGTTGGCCTCCTCCACTGCACTTTTCCCCGAGCGATAGATCCACCAGTCACCGCAGAAGTGGACCGCTTCTCCTCCTGGTCCTCCTTCTGCTGCCCCTTCTGGTCCCCGCTCAGTGGCGCTGTCACTGAGCAATAGGCTCACTACCTGGTGTGCAAGAGGCCAATGCACCATGACACCAGGTTTTGCAAAAAGAAGGAGGCTTTACTGCAAATCAGTTGGCAAGAAGGCCAGAAGTGAATTGAAATCTCACCCCTATGAAGGAAGGGAATGAGGTTATGTCGGTATAGGCCCCATCGGCATATATAGGCCCAGGATTGGGAACAAAGCGGGTCAGTTGTTTTGGCTAAGAAAGTGGACTTGGGTGAAGTTCTCGGGCTGGTTATAGGGCCCTTTGCACATGAAGCACTGAGGCTCTGCTGCTGCCGGTGGGCCGCTCACCAATGCTTCTGCATTGGTGTCTCCCAGCTCATGTGAGTTAGTCAGCCACTGTGAGTCCCCTGGGTCAGCAGGCTAGTCCAGGGGTGCTGCCTTTCACCAGACAAGCCTGTAGGATTCATTCTGGTCAAACCAAGGTTATGCCTGCAGCTCCCTCCACTCTGGGCCACATTTTGGAGAACCTTCTGGGGCTCGTAACTTGTGTGGTTTGCGAGTGAAATGCCTAGCTTACTCCCTGTCACTGAGCCCGGCCCCTGCACTCTCTGCTCCCAGGTCGTCGGCATCCACCTGAACAAGTGGAGACTGGACCGGAAGCTGGGCGTCTACGTGCTTGTCCTCTACGCCATCTTCTTGTGCTTCTCCATAATGATAGAGTTTAATGTCTTCACTTTTGTCAACTTGCCCATGTGCCGAGAAGACGATTAAAGCTTCTCCCCTGGGAGCTGTTCTGGACACTGTGGCCCTGGTCCCCTCTCGGTCCCTCCCCACTACGAGTCTCCTGCACCGGCAGCTGCCCTCTTTCATACACTGGAAGGAAGAGCCGCCGTGGTCTCTGTCTGGTCACGGGCCAGGTTGCCGGGCATCCTCCTCGTCCTTGGAGTTCTGCCCCACTTCCCCAGGCAAGACTTGGGGTGCTCTCTGAGCAGTTTTGCAGAACTCTGAGCTGTCAGCCCAAAGGATGTGGTGTGTCTCGTCCCTTTGGGCATTTACGCCAGAAGGACTTTCGTGTGCAGCTGGACTTTCTGCTGCTCAGCAGCACGAGAACTGCAGTTGTTGGCGAACTTGAGGTCTCCCGGGCAAGTGCAAAGCAGGAATGTTGTCCTTGAGTGTCACCCATGGGGTGTGTCCCTCAGACAGTCTCTGAGGAGCCTCTAACTTCTGCTGGGAGGAGCCCCCCTCTGGATGGGCCAGGCCTCCACCTGGCGGGGGCATGGGCTTTTGACGACAAACATTCCACTCCTTAGGGGGGAAAAATTGCAAGAATGCAAACTATTTTTGAGAGCAGAAAGGAGAACACGTGAATATTCTCACTCTTACTGATGCATTCAGACAACGAGCAAGGAACTATTAAAAAGCAAATGTCCTATAGATCATCATACTTGAAAAACATCATTCCATAGAAAAAGGACCATGATGGGGACCCCAAAAAGGTAACATTTCCGGAAAAAGAATCTGGTGTGTAGTGCAAGACACGTGGTTTGGAATACAGGCCAGCAAAGGACAATCGTGGAAGGGACACCAACTCAGGGACACTGCGGTAATAGTGGTGGACAGTTGTACCTGCCAGGCCTGCCTGACCACACGATCAGTCGGTCTGGGTTTGTCATGTTTCTGTTAATGCTCTTGTCTCCGAAACACCCAGTTGAGAGACTCAGTTGTTCATATGCCCAACAAATTTCACAGCCTACTGAGCTGGAGTGAGTGTCGGAAGTAATGCTTAATGAGAAGAGAGATTCCCTGAAAAACAATGAATCGTTCTCTGGTTAGCTAGAGGCAAGTATGAAAACCGTAACTTGGAATCTTTAGAGCTGTTTCTTGAACCTTCTAGTTTGCTGCAATGAAAAGCCCAGTCTGGGAGGCTGATTCCAAACTAGATAGGAAAATATTAAACCATTTCCGACTGCTTCATAGCTCTCAAATTTATATTAAAGAGATTTATGAACATAAAACCACTTGTGGTTTCTAAAAGAAAGCACAATTAATTTTATATAGAGTTTTTTTTTTATTTTTTTAACGTTTCTATTGTAAAAGTCTATCCGATTTGATGCACTTTTAATATGGGGTATTTTGCCTGGAACACTGGATAGGACCAGTCTGGGGTGGTGTGAGGAAGGGAAGTTTTCAGCATCTACCAGTCGTCAGTCCACGGGGATGAGTTTCAATCCAATTGCTTATTGCTTCCTGGACACAAAGGCAGCGGCCGGCACTGGACTTCCCAGCGGCGCTCTTGAAGGCTCAGCTCCTGCCTCTCAGAAGGAGGAAGCGGTCAAGCTTGCGTCCTGTAAGTTCCCTTTAGCTTGAGGCTAAGACAGGACAGGCATCTGTTCTGGATCCGAATCAGTGTTAGCAGCTACATCAAGTTGAGGCTTCTCTCTCTGTTTCTCTGCCTGCCAGGTGGGCTCAGCAGGCCTCAAGTTGAGGATCATCCAGTGATCTAAGCTGGAGGCCAGGGAGCGTGTAGGGTCATCGGTGTAAACTGGCGAGGCCAGGGGGTGGCAGGCCTCGGGACTGTTCTGGCCCTCCCAGCGTAGCTGACCTGGCCCCTCTGTTTCAGACTCATCTGGGCTTCCACGGGCATCTGTGTCTGTTTTGATTCTCAAACTGCCCTGTGAACTTTCACAATGAGTTTTAACTTAGGTCCTGGTGAGGTCAGGTAACTCTGGCCCACGGCCAGCCTGTAGCAGACCAGGACCCAGGGTCCAGGCTTCACCCCTCCCAGCTCAGCCAGTCTAGATGGGTTACCGGGGCTGGCCACCTTGAGAGGGGCCAGGCTAGTTTCACCTTTGTTCTTGTGGTTGGCTCTTATTGTTTAACTCAGAACTTCATCATCAGATATTTAATTACCTCACAACTGCCCCATTCATCCCCTAGTATCTATTCCCATCCAATCGTTGTTCCAGTCTTTTTCCTGATAAGACCAAAAACGATATGGAACCTCAATGATGTCCTCACTGGTGTCGATGTCACAACATCCTCACGAGTTTCAGAGGGCACATCCTGATGGCCCATCTGTCCCTCCGCGACTCCAGCTGAGATTTGCAGTTAGAGACTAAAAACTATTTCTAGTATGTAGAGCACTCCTCGTGGCTTCTCTTCGGACTTGAATGTGCCAATGTAACTTCCTTAAGAGATCTAAGCACCTATTGTATCTAGGAAACTATATATACACTGTAGGTGAAAAATTTTTCTTTTTTAACTACGTATTTTTCCACCACCAGTTTGAAGAATTGCTTGATTAATTAGACTTTCACTTTCCAATAATGCTTTTATCACTATGCCGGGTTACTTCCTTTATTTTACTCCCGGAGCTAATTAGCATGGGGTAATTTACTCTGCTGCAAAAATAGACAGTTAAGAAAAAATAAATTTAGTTCTTCCAATGGGGGGAGGAAAGAAAAATAAATCACTACAGTCAGAAGATGTCTCTAGGAGCAAGAGCAGGTGGTTCTGGTTTGGGCCTGTTCTCATCAGCCCAGATCCTGGCCCTGGAGGAAGGCTTTGGGTCAGCTCCAGGGAGACCATGGTCAGGGGCACCAGAGCCCCTCCGAATTATCCCCTCCCCTCCCCTCACCCCTCTTAAAACCCCCAGTCTGCTGGGGAGTTGCATCTCTTCTTTGCCTCCTACCTGTTAAGACTGTTTCTGGCTTCTGCCGTCAGTCCTCTGGCTTCACAGCTGGAGCAGCCGAGAAGCCACTTACCATCCTGGGTAGGCCAGGCGGGGTGCCCTCATCACTCCTGGGCAGTGCTGCGGGCGCCCTCCTGGGCTGCCCCCTCTGGGTACAGCAGGCTTTGCAAGGCTTATGGTACCAGCAGGGGTCCCGCATCCGCATGTCAGCCGACGCCACAGAAGGCTGGGAACCTAGACGGGGCGTGTGGGAGGCTCTTTGACAACACTGGGACTCAGTTGGCTCTGAGTCCCAGGGCCTCCCGGCTCCTCAAGGTGGGAGTGGACAAAGGGAGACTGTCCCCCTTTCCCAGAAAAATCTGGGGAGAGTCCGCAGCCCCAGCAAGGAAGCTGCTTTCCATGTGCAGGTGGGGGATGGCCGGTGGGGTGAAGGTGCTTGACGGCTGCCTCTGTTGCCGGGTTTGGGGATGTCGCTCCTGAGGACCAGTGGCAGGGAAGCTACTGCTTCTGCCATGACTGCCACCCTCCTTGGCCCCGCTGCAGGGGGCCGGGATAGCCAGGGAGGGAGGTGCTGGCTCTTCTCTCCCCGCTTCCTTACCCTCCTGGGCTGAGTTCCTCCCTGGCTGTGCCGGGGATGGGGCAGGCAGGTGCTCCACAAATGTTTGTAGCACCAGTAAATAAAGAACTCCCTTGTTAGGGTGAAAATCTTTGCATTATTCTTGTAGGCTTTTACGTAAATATTCCTGGTCTCGTTGATGCCTCGGAACGTGACTTCTGTGTGCGTTTCTTTCCTGGGCAGTTAGCAGATGCATCCAGGGCGCATGAAAGGGCCCACGTCTCAACAGCCTCATCGCGGCTTTGTGCTATAGAAAATTCCAGGTGTTTTTAAAAGTGCTGTCTGGCCAGCTTTGGGGTGACAGGAAGCCTGCTGCCCCTCATCCCATCCTGGGCTCCCAGTACGCTCTGTGCCCTTGCCCGCTCTCTGGGTTCACCCAGAGCACCTGAGCACCCCACCAGGTGTAAATGCTCACGCTGGCATTTCTGATTTCATGAGGGGCATGTGAACCCCTCAAGCATGAAGCCTCCCTTGGGGCCACCTCAAAGCATGAAGAAGGGTCCCCACTGTGTCAGCCATGTGGGTGGTAGAAAGAGAGGATGTTCATGTTCCACCCCACCGGGCACGGGTTTGGTTGTGCCCATGGCCTGGGGTGGGGGAGGGGCTCTCTCCCGCTGCACAGAGAACCCAAGGTCACTGTGGGTGGGGGGCGCAGGGGGGCTGTCAAGGTGGTTCCATTTGCTTCTTAGTAGGAAAAACAAGTAGGGACATTAGTTCTGTGCTTCACGTGTGGCCTGGAGGTGGACAGGAAAATGTCCTGCCTGCTTGGTGGCTTGGGGCTTTGGTGATTTAATGTTTTTGTAAAAAAAATTCTAGTTTTACTTTTCAGAAGGAAATGACCTCAGGTTGCACTGTCTCTGCTAAGGTTGCGCTGGCCACACTGACCCCTGCTGCACTCCAGGGCTGTGTCTGCTCTGCCATCTTACCTCCTAGCTAGTGCGTCACGGTCCATTTGCTTTGTCTAGGTGGTGTCTTTTCACAGGCTCCCTAGCTGGGCCTGACCGCGTCCTCTGCAGGAGGAGGGAGAGGTTGTGCTCTCCTGCCCTCGTACGGCGCTGGGCGGTGGCCCTGAGCGTGCAGTCCCCCTGTGCCTCGCGAGGTTACAGGGGCGCGTTCGGCCGTGCACCCCTTGGTTGGCTGCTCTTGTTCAGAAGCCTGATGACAGAGGCATCGCGTTCCAGTCCTGGTCCCACAGTCGCCACAGGCAAACAGTTGCTTTTTATGCCACATGTCGGTTGGGACTTTTCCATGGTGGGAGCCAGTAAAATTCTTAATCCTGGAGAAAGTAGGTAATTTCCCCATCCCACCACTGGAAAACTTTTGTGAGCTATGGAGAGAGGGTGTTTTTATGCTATCAGGAGAGTTGCTGTTTGGTGTCTGGTTGTGTGGTTTTGGTACCATCAGCCTGTGTGTGTGAAAGGAGGGGCCCGCACGGTAGTGCTCCCTGTGAACAGGCCCGGAGGGCAGTGCTCCCTGCTCCCGCTCCAGAATTCCCAGGGTGGGGATTCCCGAGTGCCAGACAGGCAGTTCCCTTTCGGCTGAAAGTGATCAGGTGTGAGCGCTATTTTTCCAAATGTTCTGGTGTGTTCTCCTCTGGCTGCTGGGGCACCCCTGCCTCGCCTTTCAGGGGTGCCCTTCTGAGCTGTTGATCACTCCTGGAGTTTCCTCCA